TAGATGGGCGTCACAGTGGCAAGCCTCCAGTGATCTGGGACCATCCCTGTTCATCAGGGCTGCTGATAAATGATGGAGAGGGCTTGGTAAGCTCCTCCGACAGCTCCTTCACTATCCCAGCTTCCAAGTATCTTAAATTTTAATAGTCCTTGATGCACTTCTCTTCCATGAGCAAGTTCAGGGACACCCTGAGCCCCAGTTACAATACATGCCTTCGTACTACCACTTACAGGTTTCATGTTTGCGTCAATGCCAGACATTAGATGTTTGACTGTACAGCCTTCCTGAGGGTGCGCAGGTGGTGAAGAGAGGTTCAGAAGTATTACCTTCCCCAGTGTATTTTCAGAACTTTGTCTGTTATTAAATTTACATGACTGTGCAAACTATTCCTAAAACAACTCCTAGAATATTCCAAATACTGTGCACATGTTCAGCTCATGAGTTGCATTGTTTAATGGAGACTACTAGAAGTGGAAATCTGTGTTTATTCCTAGAAGATGCACCTAACTTCTATCATTCTCTACTACCCTAATCTTGAAGCTCAGAAAAAGCACATGTGCTTACCAGCTTGGTTGAGCCCACAGTGCTATGGTTTCTCAGTGCTCATAATGATACCAGTCCTCCCATACTTAATCCTTACTTTTTCCATATGCTTTCCAAAGTTACAGTTTGGTGGCATTACTCCCAGCCTGGCAGAGTTTGGGTTTATTGTGACTGACAGGATTGACAGATGTACTTTGGGTAGCACAGGCATCATATAATCTGACTTAATTCTACTGTCTTTTTGTACCAAAAATGCTAATTTTGTGATATCTAAGCTAATCGTGTAGATAGGGATTTTTTAACCACCACTCTCATCCGTAATTTTTCTCTTTCTGAAGATGTACTATATATGCAGCATGGCATTTTGTCAAGACAAACCAGAATTTTAATCCCTCACACACAGGAGAACAAATCAACCAAGCAAAACCATACAAGGAAGATCAAAATCATTCCACCATGATTGTGAGCAAACAGAAACTAGTACTGCTTCATACACTGCTGTCAAACAGAATTTCTTTGTTTTCAGCTTGCAAGTTAAAAACAAGGAACTGAAATATGTTCTTGAGCATAAGTTTACAATGTGGCAGAAGACAGGGAATAAAATGAGATCTTCTGGGATGAAGATAAATTACATCTCTGTGCTGATAAGTGATTTCAGTTTCTAACGAAATAATTTTTCAATGCTTCCCAGGGAACAAATGTGGATGGCAAGGGAGATCAAGGATACAAAGAAGCCGCTATAGTCAACAAGTAATTTGAGTGCTAACGCCATTTTGAAATCTTATGTTCTGCCTTATACAAAATACCTCAAAAGACGAAAAGTAAGAGAAAGTCCTGGAGAACAGAACACTACTCTGTTCACAGACTGTCACAACTACTCAGCATTTCCCAGTCTCAGCTCCCTAAAGTAATTTCAGACTAAGCACACAAAACAGCCATCTGTATAAATGTGCACAAAGATCACTAGACTAAAGATAAAGGTGATGGAGAGAAAAAGATCCAAAAGTTTAGGAAATACGAAAAGATTTAGGTTCGTGATAATACATTTATGCAAGTTGTGTGTATTTCTTATAAGCACAACATATACGTGTAGTATATATGTAAATCATCTTAACTAAACTATGAAGAGGGACAGAGAACCTCAAAGGTTATGGAGTTCAATTTTAACTTTTCTTTTTTTTAAATTATGAAAACTACATTTGCCTGTGTCACAATTTTTGCATATAACAGGCTGCTCTGTGAAAACATCTCAATTTGATGAATTTTGTCTTCTTAAAACCTAGAGACACTTAAATGATTGATTTGTTTTTCAGTTAACAGACCTATGTTATGTTGCAACTTAAATTCCCCTATTGCTTCTCTACAGATGTATTTAATAAATTGTAATTTTACTAAGCAAAAATATGGTTGTCCACAAGAATCAGGCCTGCTATTTACCTGCATGGTAGAGAAAGAGAGTAATTTAATGGTGGAGGACAACTTACTTTCAACAACTACAAATAAGTAAACTTGGCCCCAGTGTGCAAAGTGGAAATAAGGAAGCACCTTCTCTTAGCAAGTGTTATGCAAGCACTTTTGCATCTCTTCATTATTTGGATTCTAGCTGCATGGAGTGCTCTCTACCACTTTGGAAGAAGCAGGCATTCAGCTGATTGCTTACTACCATTTTGTCGTTCTTCCAAATCTAACGTACACAGAGCGAAAGCAGAAGGGACAACCCTGTGACTTCAGTCTTTCTGGAGGGCAAGGAAGCAAAAAATGTAGAGACAAATGCCAATCTAGAAGAAGAATGCAGAAACTAGAATTTACTGAATTTGGCTTCAGTATTTGCTGAAAATATATGTATGCTTAGGGTTTTTTAAACGCTCAGCTTTTTCTACAGCAAGTCACACCTTCTTCCCTATAACCTGTATAATGTTTCGTTTTATCCACAACAAACACTGGTCACTAAGCACCTTTCAAGTATCAGGAAACTGATGTGTTAATCCAACCCACAGCGCTGCAACTGACTCCTAGCTGACAACCTCTGCTGTCTTAAAAAATCCTTGGCTCCAAGCTAGGTGCCCAAGATCCACCCAGAAAGTTACGATATCTAAGCGAGTGACGTGTCAGAACCCAGTTGAACAGGGACCTGCTTAAATGATGTGAAATGTGAAGCGGTATGGTTTAGCAAGGTACCTGTCTCTACTAAGGATCTCAGCAATGAAACTCATAATCAGTATCAGTTTTTGTACTTTGGATGACCATCTGAACCCCAAAGATGGATGGGAAGCTTCACTGTTACTTACAGAGACAGTCCTCACACTTGAAACAGGCAGTTCTGATATGACATCCACTAGAGCAGCAGAATAAGGATGCTACATAGCAACACTTTTTCTCTTTATGGCAAGTATTAGCAAAGTGTTAAACCATACAAACATTAACAACAAATACTTTATGAGCCTGCAAGAGAACACAGGTCAACTACAGGCCATAAGATTAAGTTCTTGGCATTTCTATCTTCGCCTCCTATTTGGGAAGATAAAAGGATGAAATTCAATTTTAGTAATGTTATCTTTATAAACTAAAAATGAACAGAGTAAATGATGGAATATACATCTTCCTTACCTGCATGTCTAAAATCAGTCCAGCTATCTGATTTTGTTGATTGTCTATGACCTAGAATATAAAATTAAGTGATTTTTTAAAAGGCTTGAATCTCTTCATATTCTCTTTAAAAAATCAGTTTACAGGTGTGTAGCCATAGATTTTAAATGGAATCTTTGAAAATGTAAATGACAAGACAGAATTTAATCCTGACAGAACAGGAAATTAATGCAAAATAAACATACTGAACAGAAACAGACAGGTATTGAAAAAAAATCTAACTAGCAACAAATGTATAGTTCTTTAGTGAGGGATTAATTTTTAAAGTAAAAAAATAAAGAAACACAGGATTCAAGGTTAAAGATGCCACAAACAGATCATTTGCAGACTAACCTTACTGGCTTTTTCATTCTTTTCTTTGAGACATTCATTCTCGCTCTGAAGTTGTTTTGTGTCCAACATGGGAAGGCGAATACCATCTTCCAGGCATTTTTCTACTTTCTGCTGTAAACTGTCATTCAACATGAAAGAAAAATTAAGTGCCCTGACAGAAATCAGAAGGGCTATGTGTTCTAGTGCAAAATTAGAAAGTTGCACCATTTTCCAATCAGAACTGTTAAACCGTACCTAGCCAAATCCAGCCTTATGAATGAACACACCAACACTGTGTTGATGATGAAAAATGATGCAAAAATCCTAAACTACTGAGGTTACCATTGCACTGACAAGAACAGAATCATGCAGGAACGGTTTTAAGGGACAGATTCTGTGCTGCATCTCCCGAAAGGCACAGCTCGAGCAGTACAGCATAGGGAGAAAGGGTAGAGAGGAGCAAAGAAAAGCTTTGTGGTGTTCACAGTTGCTCTGTGCTACCATAGGAGGCAAAGCCAGCACCAGCATAGATTAGAGGAGTCTTCAAATGTCTCAAAGTTATAGGACTTTAACATCAGATTCTCTCTCATTGGCGCACATACAACTCAAACCGAAGCCCACAATTGGAGGCTGCACCAAGTACTGGTGGCCTATCATTCACACTCTCTGTGACTTGTAAGGGGGAGCATAAAGCCGCTCCTGCCAGCTGCTCCCATATGAGGGCATGACCTTCAGATCCTCTGTAGCCCAACTCAAGCTCCTAGGCATAGCTAGAGCCTTTGCCAGCTCACCTTCTCTCAGAAAGGAAATACATTTTATTAGTGTTAATCTTGCTGTCTAATTTAGAAACCAGAGGCCACCCCAAGTATTTGTAGCGTTTCAGAAAAGACAAAATGATCCCCCTCTAGATTATGAGGGCATAAAAAAAAAGGCCTTTCACTGGTAAGATGGAAACAATGCGTCAACAATTTGGCTGGCAAGGTGTCCCAACCAGCTTGCCTTTCATCATGGAAACACTTTCAGACTCCTGTGGCATGCACCTATACCCAATGGAGGACAGCAAACTGCAGTAACATCCACATAAATTATTAAAAGTGATTCCCTGCTGCTTCGTGTCCCCCCCCTTTTATTAAAAGTAAGCGTTTAAGTAGCCCCCCTGATCTAAAATGTATCATAGTAACAGTGTCTGCATGTCTCATCTGGAATCTTCTCATGGATATCTGTCCCATTTGTTTTTTCATAGTTATGTGTTCAATGACAGCAGATTAGCTACAGCTAATTCTCCCTGTCAATGCCCCCATCCTCAGTGAAAAGGTAAGAAACAGCTACAATTTATTTAAATCTTTGACCCTTCCCTGAGATACCCATCAGCCAATATCCAGGGAGCTTTTCTACAGCTCGTGACAGGATTAGTTATCAAATAGGAGTGCTGACAGCTTCTATGTAATGCCCCTTTGCTGCACACGCCTATTACCTTCTATCTGACAGCAAGCTATGATGCCATTGCAGCAGTGTCCCACATCTTTAGAAAAAGATAGTGAAGAATGTCCTAGACAGACTCTTCTCTGTGGTATTACTTGCAACTTGACACAAATCAAAATCTTCTTGTATTTTCTATTGCATTACACTGTCATTCTGCACAGTAATATATTTATACCATGAAAAATTATTAGCATTGTAATAGACTAAGAGTGCAAGTAACATTAGGTCTTGACATCAGGTGGGAAAGTACACCCGCTTCAGGGCACAGCCCAAGCAGCTGTTCATACCTCTGTACTGTTGTGACCAGCTCTTTTTCTTTTTTCTTCTGACACACCAGTTGCAATTCCCTCTCTCTGCACTGCGATCGGGCCTCTCCAAGCTTCTTTTCTAACTCGGACAGAGTTTCTTGAAGTTGCTTGTTTGTCTCTTCTAGAATTTGCAGCTAACACAGATTACATTAGTCAGACACAATGCCACATTAGCAGAAGGGCTTGCAGCAGGCCACAACCTTGCAGTTACCATCTGTATAATCTTAGGCCCATTCCACTTATCTGAGTGTGAGAAACCCTAATAGCTACAGTACTTTCTAAAACATTGAAATACTCATCCTTCCTAAAAAGATGGGGAAAAAATGTATGTTGAAACAGTAAAAGATCTGACAACAGATATTAGGGAGCTTACTTATATTTTTAAAATGTAAAACAAATTCCCATTACCTTACCTGTTTAGTCTGCCCTTCTATATCATCCAGCGTTGGTAGGTCGGCCAGATATTTTTCTAAGGTTTCAATTCGTCTTTGTTTTTCTTTGTTTTGCTCAGACTCTTTCTGACATTTCTTTTTCAGGCTATTAATGTATCGGTCTCTAGTTTTAAGCTAGAAGAAAGTAAGAATATATGTTTTATGATTACAGTGAAAAATAAACCTGCTTTGGAAGCAGAGGCTGGTAACTCTTCAAGAATTGTACGTTCAACTGCATGAAAGGGTTAGTTACTGCAGAAAACAAAACTGAAGAATGATTAATTGCAGCAGCTCCAAGTCACAGACTCACAGGTGACTTCAAACCACAGTTGCTTCAATTCTGCCCAGAACACTCCATGTGCCTTGTGAACTGAAAACAGGACAGTTCAACAGTTAAAATATTCTTAGTGTTTTCACCAGTAGGGTTGTTCATATGCAACAAATGATCAGGAAATATTTTAGTCCTTATTCCTCTGGCGTAGGGAAAACAACTTAAAACACAGGGACTTAAGGACTTAATCCAGCAAAAACTGGAGCCAAAAACCTGACTTTGGTTCAGTCTGATAATTACATCAGAGGTCATCAGAACAGAGTAGTGGCTTTAAGAAAGCCACTACAGGCATCTTAATTGTCCATCAGCCTGCAAAAGTTTTTTTTATGTTGTGTTACCTTTGCTTGCACTCCTGGTACTTATTTTATTACCTAGGTGAAAAAAGGGGGAAGGAAGGCAGGAAAAGGAGTATTTTCCAGTCATAGTCTAATTTAATGAAAAATAGTATCTCTACTGCTTGAGCCAAGGTGTTCTAATTAACGGGTAACAAACGCTTGTCAACTAGAGTAAATGCTAAATGTACTTCTATTTTGGTGCCACAGACATCCATCTCACTGAGAAATAAATGTGTGACACTGTCAATGTCAGAGCTCAGTAACACAGCCTACTGAAAAGTTTAAGTGAATAATAATTGGAAAGTTTTTCTAGTGATAGCCTTCTGTATGGGCCACAAAACTCAAGACTGCCAAAAGGCTGAAAATCTTTGTATCTTTTGTTTTATCAAGACCTCAAAGCTGAACAAAGATTTCAAGCTGCTTTAAAAGCTGATTGGACAAAGCCAAAACAAACCCCATGTCCAGGAAGGTAAAACTGCAACTCATCTTCTGCCACAATATGTGCTTCAGAAGCACATACTCCCCCACACCCCAAAGTCTTAAGGCAGTGATATAAAAACATGTATGTCAGCCAACATCACACAGTAAGAATTACCAGGAGTCTGACCATTAGGTAAGTGAATCTATTCCCTCTGTTTCTCACATACCACTAAGTATGACAAGTTGAACAGTCAGAATACTCCAGGACTTTTGTGACAAAGATGACATGGTTTCCAGATCTTCTTGTCTTGCATACATACCATCAGGAATTTCCTCTCCTGCAGCTTCTCTCCTTCTAATAGTTACCGTGTTTCCCTTAGGAATCCTCCTGCCCTCTCTAAATCCCCAGCATCATCCTAAGGACTTTTTCTACCTCCTCTCACATGAGATGAAAAAAACCTTGGGTTTTGTTTTTTTTTTCTATTCACTCTTGCTGACTCTGCTGAGGGGAAAACAAGCTTGGGGTTTGCTTTTTTAAATTCCCTCTTCACACACACTGCTGATGATTTTGTTGGGGCAGGAGAAAAATAGGAAAGCTCTCGCCTCTTGGCAATTAAACATGAAACACAAGGCCACAGAAATCACAGGGGAGAACACTACTACAGGCTATCAGCAGTACCTTTCAGGAGTCCTTCACAATTACCCACAGCAGAGGGTGAATGAGCAGCCAGCAGGGTATGGGTGTCTGAACTGAAGCTTTTCCAGCCCAGCAGTCCAATTTCCAGATGAAATGCCTCAGAACTGAAGTGAGAGCTGCAAAATCTGCAGATGCCAAGAGGCACACTCATGCCTGGCATAAGGGAAAGGAAAGAACCTAGGCACTCATGACATGGACACTGGTGGAGGGTACTGCAGTATCTACCTTAGCAGGCTCCCTCAGCTAGGAAGCTGTGAGGAGCTACCACGACTACTAGCCAGCCAGGGAAGCTTTTTCAGGCTTCCGAAATTTCAGTGCCAATTAAAGAGCTCTCAGTCACCTCAGTCCTACACTACACACAGAGCCTAGGGTGAAACAAACCTTCTCTTCAAGCACCAGAATTATTCACAAGGTGGTACAAACACTGCCTTGCTTTGTATGTCTGCATGGGACAAAGACAAGTATGATGCCGACGGTGGGCAAACAGCACCTCTAATTTCTGCTAGCCTTGCAGTTTCTCAAAAGGAAAGCATCAAGCACATCCACCCTAATGTAGAAAGGACACAGCACTTCAGACCAAGAGGCCTTCTAGTCCAATATCTCATCTCCAACAGTGCCCATAAACAGATGTCTACCATAGGGAAAGAACAAGGAAAATATATTTTTCCAGCCTCCGGCTGCTTTCACCTTAGGGGCTTCTCCTGAGGCAGTTAGGATTTCTGTGCATTTAGAACAAGGCTGCACTTCCATCAACTCACCCATTTTTCCCTTGCGCCCACCCATAGTTTTAGCATCCACAACAGTTTTCAGAGAGACAATCTACAGGTTTGCTATAGAGAATGGGCATGAGAAATCAGCTGCTTTTGCTGATCATGTACTTGGCTCCTAGAGCTTCACTAGATGTGCCCTCACTCTTGCAATGAGAGCTGCAGTGAGGAGCTGACTGCCCTCCGTCCCCTCTAGGCTGCTTAGAGGCAGAGCGCCTTAGAAGGCTGCTTCTGCTCCCCTCTGACTCTGCAGACTCCATCACACTGTCCTTCAGTCAATTCTTTTCCAGTGTGAAGACTTACCCATCAGAAAATCACAGAGGACATGATTATCTGCCTTGTTGCTCTCCTCTGAACCTTTTCCAGTTCCAACACATCCTGTTTTTATGATGAGGGAGACTTTCCTAGACCTTTCACCACTGACAAAAGACAGTCAAGGAAACAGGAGTGTTCCTTATGTTTTCTTTTCTCCCACCTACACCAAATGGTCACAGCTTGTTGCTTATTGTCAATAACATACCATCTGTACACTGTATTTAAATAGTGTATGTTACAAGCTCCAACGTAGGAAAATATAGTATTATTTGCAAAAGTGGAGCAGACAGAGTAGTAGAAATGCATGCCAGCAACCTGAACCTAAAAACTTCTATGTGTTCTTTTTAGTCATACACTTAGAAGCAAAGCTCACCTGAATGTTAACAGCACTCTCCCCAGTCCCTGGCCAAATCTGGCTTTGGAAAGGAAAAAAAAACCCAACAAACTTACCCTCTCTGAAGAGGCAGAAATTCACTTGGAAATAACCCTAGCACGGCTATTGGCAACAATCCCTCTGATGAGTACAGGAATTGTGTTTTTGTTCCCTAACATCAGTCACCGACCTGGGACACCAAGCCTCTGGGCTGTGGGCTGATCTCCCTGTAAACACAGCAGAGGAACTCCAGAGATGGCTTTACCCAGGCTCAACACCTGGCCTACTGCTCAGGTTCCTGGCCTGCCACATCCCTGCAGGAACACAGCACAGCTCCTTCCTCCCTCTGCAGTCTTCCCTCAAACAGAAGGGCACTAATTTTATTAAGAAACACATGCTCCCTCTCCCTGCCCTTTCTCTCCTTGAGAGCCTTTTGTTCAGTGCACAGAATGGATGGGTGTTAGGGGGTCAATCAGAATTGTGCAGGGAATCAGGCTCCAAGCTACAGACCATCCCACTGCCACAAGCACTGCTGCACAGGTCCTCACCACTGCCACCACCTACAGCAGCAGTTCCTACACAGTGAGGAACACAAGCAGTAAAAGCTGAGACAAGAAGAAGCAGCAGCATCCAATTTCTGCCCTTCCTCAATGTCACCCTTAGTGAAAAGCATACTGCAGAGTTCATAGGAAATGGCAAGGCAGAATTTGAGATTAATTACACTTTCTTCTTTGTCTTTCCACCTGCCACTTTACTGTATCATACTGCTCCTACCCCTTGAACCTGCATTAATATATATTGAAGTTCAGTATTAAGGCCCAGTGATCAAAGAAGAGAAGGTAACAGTGACAACGTATCCTTAAACATTAATTAGGAACGATTTGGTCAATGGCACATTCTTGTTTGCTATAAAGAAAGGCTGCCAGGACATTCAAAACTATCCCTGGGTATTGCTTCAACCTCCAAAGAAACCCCTCATGGAAACAGTTCCAAAAACACAGCCATCTAAGCCCCTTCCTTGTCTCAGACTAAAGTTTACTCTGCACATCCTAGCAAAGCTACAAGAGAATCACTCCTGCTGAGTAGGCACATCCAGGTTTGTAAGTGCATCTCAAAGCATGAGGCTCACATTTATCGGACATGCTAAAAATAGGGATTTCATTTTCATAGTTTTCAAATATACTTTAAAAGATACTTTAAACACTTCAGGTTACATGAATTCTTAGAGCAGCTTTTCTTCAAAGCAAGTTTAACTGATACTTGCATAAAACTGTCATCATGATTGCCATTTCACCTAGTATCGCTTTTTACAATCTATTCACTACATGTTCAGATTTACCCACTGCCAACACCCACAATCACTAACTACCAATTTGTCTATCACAGGTAGTTTAGTTACCTTCTGAAAATAGCTCAGCAACCTACGCAATAAGTTGCCTTCTAGCAAACACATCATATGTTGCTATAACAGTGTCAAAAGGAAATCTGGAACATGAAAGACACTTACCTTCTCTTCCATCTTCTTTTTCTCCTCACTAGATTTGTTTGAAATTTGTTTTACAAATTCACTGAGTTGTAATTCCTTATTCTCAGCTGCTGCAATCTTTCGCTCAAGCTCCTCAAGGTGGGATGTTGATCTTTCAGAAACGTGAGGTTGCAGCGATGTGTTCTCATACTGTGGTTGCTTACAAAAAGAAATAAAATAATTGTATAAATGAACGCACATATACCACCGTATACTTCAGCAGCACAGCAGAAACCAGTCCTGCATTTTTTTCCACTGTCAGGAAGGGTGGGGTTTGATTTTTCAAACATTAAAATATGCGGTAACATGTATTTCAGGAATCTGGAGCAAAAAAAAAAATAAAGTAGCTGGGCATCTTTACAGTCACAACACATGCAAATGAACATTGTGGGGCCACTTTCCCCTCAGATTTATGGAAGAGGTGTGACTTTTCTAAAAGAAATCCCTGAAAAGCCAAACAAAAAGTGTTTTCAAAACAAATCACTGCCACTGCATTATCATACCATCCCCTAAGAAGAAAAACACTATGAAATGGTTATAAATATAGTAAAGCAAGAGGTGCCCTGATCTCAAGATCTTTCTAAAGCAGAACATTAGTCCTAGTCAAACCTTAGAGCTATCACACCTGAGGTGCAGAAGGGTCCAGGGACAAGCCTGAGACTACGGCTACAGTCAGAGGTCAGGCCTTCTACCTTCTGTCCTGTCTACCAAAACCCTCTTCCTTTTCCCTTTCATGCAGTTCAATATTACTCTTCTACCTCCACTGCCCACAGACAAGCACAAAATGGAAATCAACTGCATGTGGGATGAGAGATGATGCCGTTAGGCTTTCAGTTTCAAGATTCTTTTAATAACATAAATTGCTGTCTTTAAAGAAATTATACAGACAGTATTTACTAGTAACATTCCTCAGCAAAGCATTAAAAGACATTAAAACCTCCATTAAAGATCTGCCTTTGTAAATTAATCTTATAGAAGGCACACAAATCAAGCCACAGTCCTCAAACTAATCTGCATTTTCATGGTTAGCCTGTGCTACCTCATCCTTACATTTTCTGATATTTGTGCTAGTTAGATAAAAATTAGGACAGGTATGCCCAAAATACAACCACACATTCCCTTTCACACGAAGTGTTTTCTAGGAGTACTAATCTGTATGCTTTTCAGGTGTCTTGTGCAAAGGTATTCCACCCATTTTGTCTTCTCATACCTCTTCCATGTATTCTATTAACACAATCTAACCACTCCTTTGGGTAGTACCTCTTCTCCTCTTCAGAAAACCTTCCATTAGTTGTTTTCAGATGCTCTCTTATCAAACTACTTCATTTCCTCATATCTCCCTGTATAAAACCCTCATTTTTACAGTGTCACAATCCCTCAATCTTACCCCATTTTTATCAAATTTCAAAACAAGTATACTCAAAATGTTAATATAACTTAGATTTCTGCAAATATAAGGTAAACTACAACACTGAGAGGGTATTCTCCTCTATACAAGTTATGGGTATACAATTATATAATCATCAATAATCACGAAAGATCTACGTTTTGGCCTGCAGTAAATTGTGAACATGCCTTCAGGTGTCAGTTACTGGGCAATAGAAAGTTTTGCTGAATGAAAAATATCCATCCTACCTGCAAATTAGTTATGTAAGGTTCTTCGCAGTTCACAAGATGGCTCAGTCTTGCGTGTTGAGCTCGTAATTCATTCTCCCTTATCTTCTGATGTAAATTGCTAATTTGTTGCTTTTGCCTGTAATACACAATTTGATTTGAAAAGAAAAGGAATGGAATAGAGATTATGTTATTCGACTATCCTGGATATATATTAGTTGTGGGCTTTTTCCCACCACAGCCAGACTGCAACTAGTTTAGTTTACCTCTAGAACTGGAATCAATCTCATCAGGATATGAACTATTAAACAACAGTTGCCATGTAACTTTCACTTAAGCATACCCCAAAGGGTCTGCATGCAATTGGCAATAATAAGCAAATTTTGTAGAAATACAATTTGAAAACTGTAACAATTCTGTGGGGGTTTGAGGGAGGCTTCTGTTGGCATTTGTTCCTAAGGCCAGAAGTATAAGCAGGAAAAAATATACAGAAAGCAGAACGAAAACAAAACTCACACCTTCATTTTACTTGGACTTCTGCTTGGCCCCTCTCTCTTTGCCAGGGCTGACTTTTGACACAGGTCAAAGAGATTTCTAAATCAAGGGGAGCAGAAAGAACTTAAGAAGAAAAAGTCATTATATAAGACAGTCCGCATGGCTTTCCTGCAAGGTTGGTCTTTTTGCTTTGCTTTGGTTTCTCAGTCAACTGCTTTACGTAAGATGTTCCCTACCCCTAGGGTAAAATACTGCACTGCATACTAAACCAGAATTAACCTCTTACACCAATCACTTGGCCAGTGTACAGCAGAAACAGTATCACTATCTAATTATATCACAAATTATATCACTGTTTAAATCATGACCGCATTTGAATTAGCATGACCGCAGGTCAAATATTAGCCAGGTCTCAGCGCCAGTCCATGTTACAGCCCTGTGAGGAGTGCTGTACTCCCTATGGAGTGATGGGCACCTCAATAACGGACTCCAGAATGGAGTTGTCAGCACCCATCAGAAACACACATAGCAACCTTCTCAATAAAAGCAATTTTGTGCAGTCCTTTAATTTCCCTTTTTCCTTCTTTTTTATAGTAGGACATATCTGTATGCAAGCATGAAATTTTTTCTCAAAGCTCCACCTCTAACCACGTAGTATGATTGGC